GTGCGGCCGAGGCTCCCAGCGTGCCGCGCGGCGCGCATGTGCGGCGGGGCGGGCGCTGCTAATTCCATTGTGGAGCGGACGCGGCGGTATTTGTAACTGGCGGCGGCGGCGGGAGCCGTAAGTGCAGCCGGGCCGGGGCCGCCGCGGGCGCGGGGCGGGAGGCGGCGATGCGCCCGGGCGGCGGCTGCCGGGCCGCCGAGGGAGCCGCCCGCTGAGCCGGCGCGGTCCGGCGGGCGGGCGGCGGGTCCCGCAGCCCCTCTGGGCCGCGCCTCCTCTCCGGCCCGCCTTCCCGGGGGATGAAACTCGGCAGCGGCTTCCTCGGCGGCGGCGGCGGCGGCGGCAAGAGGGCGGCGGCCATGGAGCCCACGTTCCCCCCCGGCATGGTGATGTTCAACCACCGCCTGCCCCCGGTCACCAGCTTCGCCCGGGCGGCCGCGCCCCCCGCGGCGGCCCAGCACCCCCCGCAGTGCGTGTTACCTCCGGCCGCCGCCGCCGCTTCCTCCACGGCGGCGGGCGAGCCCCCGGCGCCTCCGCAGGACGTGACTTTCAAGAAGGAGCCGGCGGGAGCTTTCCCCTCCGCGCCCTCCTCGCAGAGGAGCCCCTGGGGCTTTCTGCAGTCCCTGGTGAGCATCAAGCAAGAGAAGCCCAGCGAGCAGGAGGAGGAGGAGCAGCAGCAGCCGCAGCACCATCACCACTACGGGGGGCTTTTCGGGGGAGCGGCAGACGAGAGACCCCCCGGCCTGGGCAGCGGCGAAGGAACCGGCCAGAGCGTGATCCAGGACCTCAGCCTTCTTCACCACCTGCACCAGCATCCCCACCGAGACCTGCTGCTGACTGGCAGAGGCGAGGGCGCTCCAGGGAGCACGGGTGAGCCAAAGCACGACGCCCAGGTCAAGAAGGCAAAGAGGCCAAAGCCAGAAACTCAGGGAATCAAAGCCAAGCGGAAGCCAAGCGCTTCATCCAAACCCCCCCTGGTGGGAGATGGGGAAGGTGCCATCGCGTCCCCCAGCCAGAAACCTCACGTCTGCGAACACTGCAGTGCTGCCTTCAGGAGCTCCTATCACTTGCGCAGGCACGTGCTCATCCACACCGGGGAGAGGCCTTTCCAGTGCAGCCAGTGCAGCATGGGCTTCATCCAGAAGTACTTGCTGCAGAGACACGAGAAGATCCACAGTAKGGAGAAGCCTTTCGGGTGTGACCAGTGTAGTATGAAGTTCATCCAGAAGTACCACATGGAGAGACACAAGAGGACGCATAGTGGAGAAAAGCCATACAAATGTGACACTTGTCAGCAGTATTTTTCGAGGACTGATAGACTGTTGAAGCACAGGAGAACATGTGGTGAAGCCATAGGTAAAGCAGGGGCTGGAATGGAGCCTGGATCATCAAATAGCATGGGTAGCTTGGCTGTGTTGTCTCAGGGAAATACAAGTTCCTCAAGGAGAAAAAGTAAAACAAAAAATACATCCACTGAAAACAAAGGAAACAAGTGTAGCAGCAAAATAGCTGAATCTCAAGTTACAAGTAATGTGGCCATGCCAAGTTATGCAGTTGATATTCCTATTGTGTCTTCCAGTGGTGGTCTAGTTGGCACAGGCGTAGAAGAACTTCAGAAAAAGGTGCCAAAATTGATCTTAAAAAAAACGAGCAGAAAACAGGCAGACAAAAACTACCTTAATTTTGTATCACCACTGCCAGATATTTTGGGGCAAAAACCACTGTCTGGGAAGCAGAGTGGCTCTCTAGGCCTAGTAGCCAATACCGGTGTAGAAACTATTGGCCTTCTCCAAAGTACAGGTGGTAAACCGGGTCAAATAAGTAGCAATTATGATGATGCCATGCAGTTTTCAAAGAAAAGAAGATACTTACAAACTGCAAGCAGTAACAGTGCCTTTTCACTTAATGTCGGACACATGACTCCCCAGCAGTCCGTCATCCAGTCTCCAGGTGTTAACGTTATGGATAACGAAGCTCCTTTATCTCTTATCGATTCAGCATCTTTAAATAACGAAATAAAGTCTTGCCATGACAAGTCTGGTATTCCTGATGAAGTCTTACAGAGCCTTTTGGACCAGTACTCTCACAAATCGGAAGGCCAGAAAGAAGATCCTTTCAGTATAACTGAACAGCGTGTGGACTTGCACACCTCAGGAGAACATTCAGACATGGTTCAGGAAGAAAACTTGAGCCCTAACTCTCAAACGGTTTCAAACGATAAGGCAAGCATGTTGCAAGAATACTCAAAATACCTCCAACAAGCCTTCGAAAGAACAACCAATAGCACTGGTTTTGCTTTTGGACCCAGTTTCCARTTTGTTAGCTTGTCTTCAACTCTCCATAATCACACTCTGTTTCCAGACAAACAGATATACACTACATCTCCACTTGAGTGTGGCTTCAGCCAATCCGTTACCTCAGTATTGCCAACTGCGTTGCCAAAACCTCCATTTGGGATGTTGCTTGGATCTCAGCCAGGCTTTTATTTGTCTGCTTTGGAGGCTTCGCATCAACAGTTGACGCCTTCTCAAGAGCTGGATGATCTCATCGATCCGCAGAAAAACTTAGAGACTTCATCTAACTACCAGTCAACATCTCAGAAACTGACTGGCCAGAAGGAACAGAAAAGCTTAGAATCCTCAACGAGCTTTCAGATCCCATCTCAGGAGTTAACCAGCCAGATAGATCCTCAGAAGGACATAGAGCCTAGAGCAACCTACCAGATCGAGAACTTTGCACAAGCGTTTGGTTCTCAGTTTAAGTCGGGCAGCAGGGTGCCAATGACTTTTATCACTAACTCTAATGGAGAAGTGGACCATAGAGTAAGGACTTCAGTGTCAGATTTCTCAGGGTATACAAATATGATGTCTGATGTAAGTGAGCCATGTAGTACACGAGTAAAAACCCCAACCAGCCAGAGTTACAGGTAAGGTCCTGACTGTGACCAGGCTGTTGGGTCTTCTTAATGTCATTTGTTTTACTTTGACAACACTGCCATTGGAATGTTTCTACACGGTCCTATTAAGAATAATGTAACATGCCCTTTCAATGCAACTTTTCATATTTAGTTTATTTTGTTAGTGTGATTTTTTTAGCTCTGTTTATTATGGTTTTTAATCAAAAATCAATAGTTTTAAAATAGTGTTTTTGTTCAAGTGACAATGTTTAGCAATCAAATTTACATTACGTAGATTGTCAGGGAATAGCCCAAGAGTTTAAAATGCAAAAAATTAACTTTGTTCCTAGGACTAAAGTTTATTCTAATTGCTTTACTCTCAGGAAAGTGTAATGAAGCATGGGAATTCTATGCACCGCTAGTGTATTGGAACTTCCAATTTACAGATGATGACAAATATATCTCAGCTTTTTGAGGAAGGGATCTTTGACATTTCAAATTGCTGTCTCTTACGTCGGCTGATCTGAAAGAATTTTGCTACCTAAATCTTGTTGTTTTTTAAAGTACTCCTGTTCTTCCAGGTGATGCTCATTCCAGGCAGGTGGAGCAAATATTCTCGGGTCTGTACGATGAGCTCAGCACGGTAGCTTTAATCTGAACAGTAATGTCCCCAGAACTTGTGTGTAAGACTGTAATTCCGTAAAGAGATTCTGTTGACACAAACGGTGAGAGCAAAATGCATGCAGCTGGTTCAGGTCATTAGAACCCCAACTTGAAACTACAGTCCTAATCCAGATAGGCTTTTGGGGTACATTATTTGTTACACATGGTTCAAAAAAGTTCATCTCYTGCTCTTCCCCTTTTCTCACTCCTTTAGTGTAAAGGATTCCCTTTATTTTATTGCATTCCTGGTTCCTCTGGACTTGATCTTGGTCGTCTACCCCCCCACCTCCCTTCTTTTCCCTTTTTCCCTACACACTCTTTCACCCCAACTTAATAGCTAACATTTAAAAAGATTTACATTCCAGAACGTGCATATCTTATGATGTGCTTTCTGATGTCTTGGGACATCAGATGATGAACAATGAACACCCACCTGTTTTAGAACTATGTCGAGGTTTCCACGTACGATAAGAAATAATCTACTCCCAACTGTACATAGTAAGGCCCCTATCCTGCATCAGGATCAGCTACCACGGACCCCTGTGCCCAGCAGTGTCCCAGTGGTGTCACTGGAGCTCTTTACGGAGAGAGGGGCTTGCAGCAGTTCATCATGGCAGGCTTTTAGGGCCTAAGGCTGCAATTCCATCAAAGGATTCTGGTGATGGCATCAACTACAAAAGTAGAACTTGAGTGGCTTGTTAATATCAACAGAACTTTTCTTTGGAATTATTGCCTTACTTTATGTATATTTTGTGGTACATTATTTATTATATGTGAATCCTGATTAATGCCTGTGGAGCCATGGAAACCTGCTAGAAATACTGGTGGCCATTCAAAGCTGCTGAAATGCAGTGGCACTGCTCTAAACCACTTTTTGCAAATGTATTTTTTGATTAGTTTTTTAATGTAATTTTGGTGATGTTTATGATGATGGTTTTTTATGTACTCTTGGTGATGTTTCAGTCTTACGTACTTTYCTGTTGTCAGGAAGGTACCAGTGGTTGTTTGCAGTCTTATTGTGTAATCAGCCTATTACAGGCTTCCATGTATAATAAAGTTATTAACATTGTGCAAGTGTAAAACACTTCTGTTATGAAAGTGGTGTATTATTAAAGGAATTGTTACAAAAATCCTGGGTAATTTCTCCTGTTGTCCCTCACCACTATGAATAGAAACCTGAGCCCACTCGTGATCTCTTTTGCTAGTAAACTTGTCTTTTTTTTTTTGTCCTCACTAATCTAGAGTTTGTTCTCATAGAATCTTTGTAACTCCATTAACTTTTTATTTATACTTGATTCTGTATTTCATGCTATTTCAGTTTAAATAAGCAAACAACAACTGTTCTCTAAACACAGAACTCAGCCTGTTATCAGGGATGAAATAGTCCRTAACCACTGTGTTGGCTTTTTTAGTACYTTTTCTTTTGTTTTACAGAGGTTATAATTTACATTCTTTATATTGTGTGTAGTAGAAGTTGCATATGTATTGTTCTGGCTGTTTGCTTTAACTTAATAAAACCCATTATTCACAAAATCATAAAGGTATCACTTCTATTATCCAGTCATGCTTTTGAGAACCTAGTAAGGAAACATTAAGAGATTAAATTTTGAGAAGGAAAAATATAGAAAAATATATTTGACTGGAATGTTTTCAGTTTTTCTTCAGTTTCCTTCTGAGTCAAATAATCTAGATGTGCTCTTTTAGAAGCCTGGGATCTATTCAATTTCTTTAGCTTAGCAAAACTTAAATTTCCTTAAGTTAAAATGTTAATGCAGCCTCGTCTTTTCAAATCTGTGGTTTTAGTTACAAATACCTAAATTGCTTATTGTTAACTTCAAAGGCTTTTCATAATTGCTGGAAGTTCAGAATGACAAATACATAATATAATTCAAGGCAAAGATTGTAGAAAATCCTCTGTCTGCTTTTTGGAGGTTTTATTTGGTTGTAATTTCCCCCTCACCCTCCTGTTAACTCCTGCATTTATAAGGAAATCTCTGTAAAAGTAGTGCTGTAGCAAAATACTTTAAAAGCATTTCAGGTAATCTGAAGATAGGTTGTGGATTTACTTTGTATTTTTCTTCAACTTTGCACATAAATTTGAATCAAGGCAGTGGCATGGATAAGAAAAACCCYTGGCATGTTGAAAAATAAGCATAAAAACCTTACAAAAAGTAAATAGGGAAAATGCTTAATGTCTAATATTGAGAACATTGGTAGGAAATGAAAAAAATACGGGAAAATGTAGTGGAATTTTATGTGTTCATCTTAGTCATTCAAAGGTTTCTAAATAGAGTACAACAAAACATTTTTCTACTTTAATATGGAATTCAAATATTTTAATGAAGGTAGGGTTATGTTAAAATTGCAGTGAAATCAGGCTATGGCTTTACCTGGTACATATTAGAAAACTACTTAGTAAGTACTAGTTAAACCCCATGAACTAAACGTTTATATAGGAATGTGTCAGCGAGAGAAGGAAAAGGGGAATCAAAATGGATTTTGAATTCTTTCCCACTTCATTTCAAGGTTTAGTTTGTTGTTTTTAAAAGAATTATGGGAGGGCAATGATAACCTGGTTCCTTCYACTAACAGGAGTGTAAAGAAGAATTGCTATATTTAATGGTAGAAAATTGTTCATGAACTGTTACACTTCCTCTTAGAGTAGCTCACATAACATCATTGCCTTGGAACGAGTGCGTTACGGTACCTTGAATTGTGACTGCAGCTCTCTGTCCCAAGCCACTGAAAGTGCACGTCTGACCTGCCTGCATACAATCCAGAAGAGCCAACTCAAATTTGTTGTAGTTCCTGAATTGCTTCAGTTGGACACAGACTTGTGGGAGAAATGTTACAGTAAGAAACTGAAATGAAAGGAGAACAAAAAGAAAGTGAAAACAATGGTGTGAATGTTATTTGCAATTTCAGGTTTATGGACTACTGATGAAGAAAAGCTGCTGAATGCCTCATGGAGACCGTAAGAAGCTACTGGAATAATTCCATGTATTCTGTTAATATTTGTTGTTTCAACTGTTTGGTCTTCCCCTCAGCCCCAGTATTATATGTTTGATAACAGTGTATTTGTCTGAATTCTGCTGTTGCTGGTTTTTTTTTCCCCACCAGCTAGAAATCAGTCCTGGTCATGTGAGTTGCTGTTGTGGCTGTGGAAATGTTTGTTACACCCGAGAAGATACATGWGAGAATGTGTAAGTGACTAGCTCGATGCTCTACTGGTTGAAGGGAGTCGGGTCACTCTGAAATCAAAGCTCCTGTTTACAGCCCCTGCTGACTACCAGCTTTAAACATTTGAGCTGTAGTGTTCCAGTCTGTYTCATGATCTATGCACGGTCTTTCTCAGGGAAACTTCTGCAAAAATTGCTAATGTATTTCCTAAAATTAGATTAAGGAAGAAAACTTTCTTGTTCCACTGGTGTTTTCATTCCATGCTTCTTCAAAACCAAATCAGAATCATCCTCCCCCAGCTAGGACTTTGGACTATGTTGATGGATGAGGCTAGTTGAATCACTATTTTTTTAACCTAATAATTAATGGTTTTTGAAAAATGCTTTTATGTTCAGAAAGTTTGGTAGCTGTATCTCCAAGGACGGTCTCTCCAGGATAATGCATCAGGCTGTTCAATCCTGTGATGTTATGGTATGTTAGTCCATGTGGCAATCTTTTTTCTAATGGGTTGCATATTCTCAGAGTGGAATATTTTCTTGCTGCTTATCTAAACTACAAAGTCTTCACTTTTAATATTCTTCTCAAGTGATTTTTGTGCATTTTTTGTGTGTACAAACACGTAGGAGGTTTACTGTTACGCACATCATTTGGAACACAGGATGTGTAGCCTGCTTACCAAATGAACAACTCTCCTACACTTTGTTATCTATGTTGTTTGAAATATATTTCTYGAGCTGCCTCATTGTGCATAGTCCTTTTTCTTTCCCTGACTGTCATCCTGCTCAATGGGGATACAAACAGCAAGGCAGTGTGGCTCGGAAGAAATTGTCATCATGTCATCAATGTGTTGTAATGTATATTCAAGATGGAGTGAATGGAGGCTTAAACGGAAGATTTAGTTCTGGGATTTTTTAACTTATAATGCTTGATTCATAATCTTGATTCATAATCTTTGTGTATAACATACTGCTTTATTACCATATTGATCCTTTTCAATATTTTGATTTTATTAGTTGAATAATGGATTTGGTGATCTTAAACCTGAAGCTGTCCTAAGTAATGGGATGATGCCACTCTGTAAAGCAGTTTGTGTACTTGGTGACCTGGCTTGAAATTTGATAAAGTATTGTATAGCCAGACTCAAAATGAAGAAAGAATTAAGAACTAATTTAAGATTGTATTTTAAAAAATTATTTTAAGATATTGTCTTACCAGAAATGTATTTTAAATAGTCTCTTATTTAGTGCTACAGTTAGCAAAACATTCATTGAGCTAATGAGGTGTGTAGTGGTCATTACGCAGGATCTGCAACAGCATCAGATACTCTGTAGTAGCTCATGTTTAGCTTTGATGCTAAAAAAAAAAAGGTTATTACCATTCAGGATATTCCTGTGCTTTGTTCAGAAGGAATCTACTTTGTGCTGTTGGCAAAAGATTGCATTTTGATTTTTATTTCAAAGGTCAAAAGGCTGGTTGTATCTTCATCCCAAATTTCTCCTTACAGTGTGTACTTCTGGGTGTGCTCATACTCTGTTTCCCTGGATAGGTCGGAGCCTTGGCAGGACATGATKTGTGTGGGTTCTGTTGTATGGCCAGAAATTATATTGAGGGTGGTGAGGATGGGTCAGTCTGCTCAAAKATTCTGAGTACTTGTTTTTTCTGGAGGGGGCAAAAATACCTCACAGGTATTTTTGTTTTCAGATGTATTATATTCTGTGATGAATGGGAATAAAACTGGGCTGAGACCTGTTTAGTGTAGAATTTATAAAAAAATCCATGAGCAATTTGTTGAGTGACAATGCTTAGAATCACTTTAATTTGCTTTCCAGTAATGAGGAAATGTATAGATGTGTAATAAAACATCTTGCAAGTTTTGCTGAGCTGCTTTAAATTCTAGTGGTAAAATGTGTCAATGSGTCTTCTTCCCTCTTAAACAAAATGATTTGTAGAATGAAGAACACATTCTACTTGGTAGTACTGGAAAATGAGACTAATAAGGATTATTTTCTTCAGCTGCAGAGGGCATTGATGTTGTGCTAGCTATCTGCTTGCAATTCGGTCAGGCTGGTGGTAACACATTTGCTTGCTGAAGCTGCTGGCCCCATCCTGTCTCCAGGGGCTGAAGGCACTCCCAGAGTCCTGGCAGAGGGGGCATGGCAGAGAGCCGTTTGCAGCTGGGCTGGGAAGTGTGAGAGACAGCACAGCCAGCTCCGTTTCGTACTGCACTGAGGGTTTTTTGAAGGCCTGCTATTTCCAAGTGTTGACTCACTGTGAAACTGAAATGCAGAGAKCTGTGCCAAAAGTCTGCTATCTTAGGTTTGGCCAGAGGGTTGAATAACTCCAGGGGTTATTCAGCAGTAATCAATGGAGATGTGGCACTAAAACTATTTAACCTGTTTAGCTTAAGACATTTGGGAAAGGTAGGGCAAATTATATCATGTTCATTTACTTGGTCCATCAAACCTTGTAGCTAAACATTTACACTTGGTAATCTTAGTRTAGAGTTAAATCTGTATGAAATGTGTAGGTGATTTTAAAGTTTACTTCCTGAAAATTCTTAATTAAAGCTTCTTAATTAATATTAGTCTAGGGACATGAGAGTTAAACTAGTTGCTCATTTTGTGTTCTTGGAATTTGGAATTTTTGAGAGATGGCAGTAATTTTTGTGCAGAGATACTAAATTTGCTTATTTATTTTGGTGTTGAGAGGCACTTTAKAGTAAAAGTAGTTTCATATTTTGGTTTATGTGGTTGTGGAAATCATACTTCACACATGTTATCTTAAGAGTGGATGGCAAAGGGAATAAGGCTGCTGAAATCATTAGTTTTTGCAATTTTTAACACCATATTCTGATGCTTACATGTTTTGTTCTTCTCACAATGAAGCTAAATTAAAATCTCTGAGAAAGAGGTCCCTCTAATATAGCATAATGAAGTCTTTAAATKGGTACAGTTGTAGGTCATCGTGAATAGGAATGCAGTGACCTTTGTCTTGACAATGAAGCTGACACAAGCTTCTCAGAGCTGTTCTTTTTTTTATTATTTCTCCGCCAGAAAGGACACAAATAAAACAGAGGATCCCCCTTCTCCCATCAGTGAACAAAATCAAAAGACTAGAAAATGTGTTGTAATTTGTCAGTTTGCAAAATCTAGAAATAACACAGACTTCTTTCTCAATATAGACACTGCTACAGGAGCAGTTTCTGGCAAGGAGTTGGGAAAAGAAGTAAAGTCTACTTGACTGGCCATATGACTGGTAAAGTGCCTTCTTGGTTTCTTAAGGTACTTTGTAATAGCTTGTTTTGATTTTGGGATACACAGCAGTAAGGCATTCAAAATTATTACTTGTACCTACTTACAGTTTTGAATCTAGAAAAATCACAGATCTGTGATTCATTTTGTCATTCATTTTACACTTTGCAGTACATTGCAGGCTTGCAGAAATCTAGGAAGGCTTGAATTTCTTGGTGGCCTGTATAAAAAAGCAAAGCATTTTGCAGAAAGCACATAAACGTGGCTGTTTCCTAATGAGAATACACAGTTGCTCTATCCAACTTCAGCCGAGGCCTGTGAATTGCGGTGCTCAGCAATTTCCTTTAACCACAGAGAATCATCTGTCATTCTTAAATAATGGCACTACCTGCTAGTTTAGGACTTTCTCAAGGCTTCAGCAATGTTGATCTGAATTGTGCTGCTGAATTGTAGAGGAGAGGCCTGTGTAAGCAGAGTGAACTCTTAAGTGTGCAGTCAAGGTAATGAATGGAGATTTGTTCATTTCGAAAGAAGTCCTTTCCATAGAACTGCTTCTCTAMGATCAGCTAATGATTTTATTTATTTTTAGCCAAGGACCTGACTATATGTTTTTTTGAAGAGTAGCTTGTTTACTCAATGATGATGAATGATATTCCCATAAGGCCACAGCCTGGGTAAGTACCTGCAACAGGTATTTTTATTGGGAATGTCCCTCTCTGAGAATATGCTTCATCAAAAGGAAAAAAAGAAAGAAAAGAAAARTTTAGAGTATGCACATGTTATTTCAGAGCTGTGTAAACTAAGAGTGAAACAGCAGTTACCATATAATATTACAAGTTTTTAAAACCTATTCCAGGAAAACAATACACTGATAAATGGATGTAGTGGATAGTGAGAAGTGACTTCAATAGATGAAAATAAAAAGGTATGTGAAACAGTATGTTAATGGTTGGCTAGAAATATTTAACTTGCTGTTTTCTATAAATGAGACTTACTCAAAAAGCTTACTTTGTAAGTTGGAACATGACTAATTTGATACCAGAGGTTTTTTTTTTGTTTTGTTTTGGTTTTTTTTTTTTTTTTTTTTTTTTTTTTTTGTTTTT